CTTGTTAATAAAGCTGGGCTTCTAACCTGAAGATCAGAGGCATGAATTCAAGAATCCTCCCCATTCATTGATCTTAATTCCTACCCAAAGGAACATTTCTTCCCAAGCCACTCTTTTAATACTTTCCTTTTGTTTTAATAAAACAGTTCTTCCATAAAACATAGGGTTTATTCTGAGGCTGATAAAAATCATTCTCCTATGAACAGTAACTGTTTCTTGTTTTATCAGTATTGTGTGGTTGTTTTTAGTTTAAGAAACTGGAATCATAACAGGCAGCATACAAATGGATGTACATAAATAAAGACCTACCACATGCTGTCATTTTTTTAATGGACATATTGATTCCAACATGTTTGAAAACAACTAGATTGCTGCTTTTAAAAATGGCTTCAAGGTATGTGTAAAATTCAATGTCACTTTTAAATACTAATAATTCCAACACTGATTGTTTAATAAAGGATTCCAACAAATCATCCTTGTTTTTTTTCTGAGAAAAGAGAGGTTAGAAATCAAGCAATCATAAATTAATATCCATCACTGAGAAGTTCAGCCTGTTCCTCCTACATTTTAAGTTGTCCTAAGCTCTCACATTTTTGTTGTTTGCTCAAGCCTTAGACTGTACAGAATTTGCCACTTGTCAAATAATATCAGTAATATTAATCATTCAAAATTTAAAATTTCCAGATTTGGTATGACACAAACTGAGCCTTAATTTCTCCTATTATGAAAAGCTTGTTCTTAAAAGAGTTTTTATTGCTTAAAATACGTAAAAGGGTTTAGCCTAAAATGAGCAAAGCATGTTTCCAAAAATTGCACAAGCCATACAGAGCAGCAAAGCTACACACCTAAAACATATTACTTGCAACTTTTAGCCACTAAATTTGCAACATATCCTAGAACTAAATCGTTCTTCACTAATCTCTTTGAACTTGGAATTTAAAATAAAAGTAAAAAGGAAGAGATGAAATAGCTTTCAGCACTTTTATGCAAAGGCAGCAGGCCAATGTATTGCCAATAAAGTAAGCACTACATTTGTACTAGCTTAAAACACAGCAGAATGTGCCAAGTTTCCTTATTTGGGAAAAAATATAGTTCTATGGCTTTCAAGGAATTTGACCAACCATTTTTGGAGTGACAACTATGTATACATATTGCATTTGGCTTCTGAATTGTCCTCTTTCAAATAACCTGAAACCAAATAAATTGATAATGCTTCCCAAGTATTAAATAAGAAAAGGATATACAGCGTTTTATAACTTGGCCCTTTATTGTATGGTTTCAGCATAAGAAAACATAATTTGCAAATGTAGTAATGACATAGTTATTGTCATTACTGTCATAGTAGTGACAGTAACACTGAAAATATAGGATAGATGTAGGCATTAGGATTGTAGTAGCGACATATTTTCTCTCTTTTTCCCTTTTTCTCCAGTCTCTTCAGTACTGTAGTTACTGAACAATAGAAAGAATCAAATAAAGTTTTCCCTTCCTTAAATCTATGCCAGAAAGCTCCACCACTTTTCTTCAGAGGTGCTCAGGACAAGAATTAGCAGCTCCAACCCTTCAGAATCTAAAAGCTATGAGTCACCTAAGATACCTTATCATACCAAGTCCTAATCAACAAAAATTATCTCTTCAACTGGAAACTGGTTGGAGAATTCTTACTTTGATGTCTTGCTTTACGAAGAACTAAATTTGACAGAACAGTATTTCAGCCATGGGAACTGGTTTTGCGATAAAGCAGTGCACCCTGATCCACCTCTGACTCACAGGGAATACTCTCTGTTTTGAGATTCAAGCATCTTTCATACCTAGCCTTTGAATTAATTTACGAAAGCTCCTGGGCTTGAGAGCTTTCAGAGAAGGAAGAGAGAGAAATATTTTGGCACTACATAGGGATTCAGGACTTCTTTCTCCTAGTGGTCTCTTGATGATCTGCAACATCCAGAAGGCACAAACAAGCACTGTAGTTACTTTTTCTTTTTTCCCTACACAAGGTGAATGTAATTGTTATCATGCTTTCGTGGTTATGCCCAGTGTGCAACTCCTCCATGGAGAGGAATCTGGCTGTAGAAAGGAGAAACCTCTATTTCAAACCAAGTTTTCAAGGGATGTGTTGCAATCCCTGCTCTGCATTTTATTTAGAGGCAGGGCCAGAGCACGGATAGGATACCTAACTTTTGAAGAAAATTCAATTTTTCACTCCTTTTATGTTAAAGATCCCTTTGATACATCCTGGAAGCTGACTATGCAGCAACAACAACAAAAATACTGCAGAAGCTTCCTCCCCAAAGACTGATAGGAACAGGTTATGCCCAGGCAAGGGAAATTCTAGTTAAGAAGAGGCTTATAGACAAGGATATTCAGGAAGAGGAAGGAAGAAGCTCTGCATGTACAGTAGCTGGGTATGGTCTCATCATCTCTGGATCTCTCATCAGTTTATTCTTCCAAAGTATTGCAGCATGTCCAGCCCTGCTGGACAGTCTCCCTAAAGCAATGCTCAAAAGTAGTTTTAAGGGCACTCTGTTAATATAGATAGTCCTCGATTTACAACAGTTCATTTAATTACAATGGTACTGAAAAAAGTGACATAGGACCATTTTCCACAATTATGACCATTGCAGCATCCCTATGATCACATGATCAAAATTCAGATGCTTGGCAACTGACTCATACTTATGAGAGTCCCAGTGTCCCGGGATTATGTGCTCACCTTTTGCGACCTTCTGACAAGCAAAGTCAATGGGGAAGCCAGATTAACTTTAATAACCAGGTTACCAATTTATCAACTGCAGCGATTCACTTAACTGTGGTAAGGAAGATCATAAAATGGAGCAAAACTCACTTACCAAATGTCTCACTTAGCAACAGAAATGTTGGGCTCAATTGTGGTCGAAAGTCGAGGACTACCTGTATGGAGCAATTGGACACTCTACCTCTTGAAGAGAAATCTGTAATAGTATGATAGCTTTCTTAATACCAGCATTTCTAGATCTGCCATATGATTTTATGCAATCGCTTGACAAGAGCAAAAGTCTGTTTGGGAGCCTGCCAGCACCAGCGTTGTATGGAGGAGGAGAAAGTGCAGGAAGGACGAGGAAATCAGAGGTCTTTCCTTTTTGTTACTGCATTTTACAGGATTGCTACATAATAAAAAGAAGAAGTTAATCCCCCAAAGCTGTTGCTATAACACTGTTGTGGTTAATGCTGCCATGTGCAGAAGTCTCTTTTCTTTGGTTCAAGTTATTTGTGTACAAGACAAACTGCTGGTAGTTTGTATTGGGGGAATTAGTGGAAGACCAGAGAATCTCCAACAGTCTTAGAATAACCTCTATATGGCCATGCATAGTAATTGTTATCAGAATACTAGACTTTGACCACAGAGATTGTAGAAAGTTCACCGTGTGATGTTAAGAAATTCACTATTTCTCTCCCTAATCTACTTGGAAAGGCATTAGAAAAAACAGTTATGGTGTTTTGGCTTCCCTCCTTCAAAGAAAGGAAAAGTAGAAAAGCACTAAAACAGAAAATTAACACATGCAGAATCATCCAATTGCACTATTTATAGCTCCCATATGCTTGGCTGCACCCTAAGAATTGTTTAAAAAGTAAAGTCTTGTTCCAGTCAAGTTTGATTTGGGATGACTTTCAGAACGTGGACATGTTGTTTTCTTGACAGCAATATGGAAATCATGAGTTGTTCCTGTCTTTTCCAGGATGTTGGGGTTTTTTTTCCCCCAGTCTAGTCTACAACTCTGTCTCCAACCCAAGCACTAAAAAGGCTCACCTTGTTAACTTCTGAACCTCATGAACACCCAGCCCCAACATGGACACTGAAGAAAGGTTAAAAGCACTTGCATTTCAAGATAACTTGATAAAGAACAGACCTCCAGGCCCTATATTTATCTTTATCCCCATGAAAACTATATTGTCCTCTAAAAATATCGCCCATAATTAAAATTGTTCCTGCTTTTTGATGAACTACTGCAAAGTACAATTACATTGATTATGCATTTCGATAGGAGGTCACAAATGACACCATTTGATTGAGGCCTTATTGCAACCTTTATACATGAGCTCTAAAAATAGATAAATAGATCAATTCCTAGCCAATATGACCATGCCAGGAAATGTCATCTATCCTATACAGAGACATCCATCATTGCACAAGGCTGATATAAACTGCGATCCAGACCACAAGGCGTTTAAAGTCACGCTGGCACTAACAGCCCAGGTTCCCTGCACTTAAGGACAGCAGCAAGCAGCTCTTTTAATTTTCCACATCAAAGCATGGCTCTCTTGGTTGGAATGTTTGCATTTGAACCTTACCCCTTTCTAGGGCAGTGTCACTAGTCCTCGTGCCACAGCTTAAACTCAACCAGCCTTACTCCTGAGTAAGCACACCAACCATCTGATTGTCAGATTTACAGCTACTCCCCCCAGTTATTCTAAAGACATTCCAAAGGATTGCGTAAAAGACCACATGACATCGTTTTACAACATTAAAGAAAAGGAGAGGGGGGGGAGGAGAGAAAAACATTGGATTTTTTTTTTCTCCTTCGAATTGAAACCAAAAGTTTCGTTAGCTTAGGTTTTTTTTTTTATTGTTATTATTATTATTTTAAACTTGGCTGCATTTCTCAGGGGGGAAAAAGAGGGGGAGTGATAAACAGTAGCACTTTAAAGAACTTTCAGTGAAACTCTGTCGGGAGGATAGGAAATGCCTAAACCACAGGATATGACAGATGCACTTAATCACCCCGAGGTTCACTACAAGGGTGAGGTTACTCAAGTATACTCCATGCCCAATTTTGCAAAAAAAAAAAAAATATCGCCGGCCCATTATGGCTGACTGTTATAATGTTTAGGGGGGGAGAGAGAGCGAGGGAGGCACGGAAGATGGTCACCGTGCAAAAAATAAAAAAGCGATTGCGTCGAAAGCAAAAGAGAGAAAACGAGTCTTTCCACGCCGAAGAACAACAAACAAACAACAAAAATACCAATTTTATATCAAAGTTGCACCCAACGAGCAAAAGGGCCGGGATTGCAACGTCCCGTTTCGAGGGGGTTTCACCACATAAGAAGCTCTTTTTTTTTTTCCCCTCTCATCGCCGAAGCTCTCAAACCGGTCCCGGGTTGCGCAAAATGCTTTCTCGCGCGCAAAATAAAAATAATAAAGTAATAAAAATAAAAATGAAGGTTTTACTAGTTGTCTCCGGCCGTTTACCAAGACCGACCGAGGCAAAGGAAGGGTCGAATACGCCATCTCTACGCTCGCACCACCCACCCCATCCGATCAAAATAAGGGAGGGCGCGCATGCCCGCCATGCCAGGAGACCAGAGTCTCTCGGGTCTCCACATCGCGTCGTTACCCCCCCACACACACACACACCAAGAGTACCCGGCTAATCTCCACCCCTAAAAAGCGCGCCCTCCGCTTTCCCCAGCCAGCCAGCCAGCTTCCTTACCTTCCTATGGGGACACCCAATTGGCGGCGGCCGCCGACCGAGAAGCGCCCCCCTCCCCTCCGCCGGTGCCCTCAAATCCGCTCTCCAGCGATGCGCTTTGGAGAAGCGAGGCTTTTGCTCGCCGGCTTGGCTTGCAGGTCTCTTGACCGCCCGGAGCCTCCCTCGTTTCCGGTTAATGTCAAAAGGAGCCAAGGCAGCAAACCTCTCGGTGCCTCCGGAGCTGGGAAGAAAAGCACCACCCCGCGCACAGCCCAGCCGGGAACGGAGGGACAAGTCCTGACCCGCCCACTTGGCCGGCTGTCAGGCGATTGTGGGAGATCCCCGAGGGCGCCCGGGCTCTTTGCCTGGCCGAGTGAGCCTCTCGGGTGTCTCGCTTGAGGAGCGCGGCCTCTTCGGAAACTCTCTCCCGATAGCTCTGACTGGGGTCTTTGCGGTGGGTGAGCCGGGCCGACCCTTTGCTTTCTCTCCCTCCAGCTAAGATCGGGCGATCGAGATCGAATCAAAGAGTGTTTGTAGGGGCTTTGGATGTATCACCATCGCTTTTGACGGGGTTTTACACCATACTAAAGAGTCAGGCTGAGTTCCAAAAATAAATGGCAAACTTGGTTGACTCTGACAAGTCTTTGGATTTTATATTTTCTGTGCGTTATAAGATAACCTTTATTGTCACTTTTTTTCTGTGAACACACTGGCACACATTAAAAAATGAAATCTGATGCACGGTCTCAAAAGAAATTATCTATCTATCCTGTTTCCCCCCAAATAAGACATCCCCTGGGCTTTTGAGTGCATGCGCTAAAATAAGCGTCCCCCGAAAATAAGACCTCCCTGAAAATATTTAAACGCAGAGCTGAAAATCAGGTAAGACGGCAAGAGGAGCCCCATCTTCTCCACACGCCCCAAAATAATAAGACCTCCCCAAAAATAAGGCCAAGCGCTTATTTCGGGGTTCAGAAAAATATAAGTCAGCAACTTATTTTTGGGGAAACACACACACACACACACACACACATACATATATATACAAATGTGTATGTGTGTATGCGCATGTACACTATATATATATACACACACATTAATCACAGTCCATTATGATCATTATTCCTATAATTTAAATGTATTAAAAGAGATTCAATATTACTTTGGTTAATGAGAAAGGGGGTTTGAGTTCAAAATCGGTTTAAGAATGCTTTATAATGCTTCCATTCAAGACACATTTACAAAAGTTAAGTGTCAAAAGGCAGCAGGATTTATTGTAAACACACAACACCACAGCTAAAATTCTGTGCATATTCATTTATAGAACTATCAGGTGTTTTGTTGTGTTTTTAATTTTTTAAGATACTTTTACATCGAATAACAACATAAATCCAAATTCACACATAATCGCAAGATTGCACTGTTGTTTTTATACACTGTATATTTAATCTTTAATTATGTCTAATTTAAATTCTTAAAATACTTAATACTAAAATTCTGTGTATATGTATGTATATGTTAGTGTGTATGTGTATATAGATTTGTGTGTGTGTGTGTGTGTAATCTACCTTCCTGATAAAATTGTGATGCATCCCATTCTAAACTTAATATTCAAATTTTATCAGTAATTTTTTCAACAAGAGCAATTCCCCCTGCCTAAAAAGGTCATTTTAGTTGTGTTTATAGGAATTTGATTTTTAAAAGACTTTTTTAAAATTCCAATTATATAACTGCATATCTCAAATGTGTGACTCAGAACCAGTCAAAACAATTAAAACTATATAAAAACAAGGAAAATATAATTTTTAAAAAAACCTATAGAACAGCAAAATATTTTCGTTAGTTTGTTAATAAATTAAGCATTTTGACCAAAAAAAGCTGATGTATAGTCTCATAGTGTTTTATTTTTTCCTTGCATGATGCTTTATTTTCCATTAGGAAATCTCAGGGGTTTCAAACAATATTGCTGCAGACTCACCTAAGTGTAGGCATTTTAAAAATGGATATTTCTGGATTCAATCTATCTACAGTTAAATATCAAGGGAAGTTAAGGAAGAGGGATGGCTTGAATTGCCTTGTCTTTTTATTCCTGTTAACTGACTCTAGAAAGTCATGTTCAGTCGCAGGAAGTCACTGAATGGCTTGGGTCAGTCACTTCCACTCACTCCAGCCTTCCTTTCAGGTGGGAAATAGCAATAGCACTTAGACTTATATACCACTTCACAGTGCTTTACAACCTTCTCTAAGTGGTTTACAGAGTCAGCATATTGCCCCCAACAATCTGGGTTCTACTTTTACCCAGCTTGGAAAGATGAAAAGCTGAGTCAACCTTGAGCTGGTGAGAATCGAACTGCAGGCACTTGGCAGTCAGCAGAAGTAGCCTGCAATACTGCATTCTAACCACTGTGCCACCACAGCTCATAGAATGGATGTTGATGCCATGTGCACCATCTTGTGCTGGAGAAAAGACAGGATGTACATCTAACAAATGAATACCATAAGTAATTATTTATCTAAATTTTTAAGGAACATTAACATTGGCCATTTTTAGTTGGAAGAAAATATGTCCTCAAAAGGCACAATCAGGAATGCCATCTTGGTGCAGCCTGGGAAACCCAGAGAGTTTCCTCTCCAGGCCATCTCCTCATCTGGACGCCTCCTGCTCTGAGAGGCTAAAAGACAGCTGCTGCTGCTTCTGTCTTTTTCTCCCATACCATATAATCATTATGTAGGTTGGGGTGTAACTCACAAAACCTGCATCACAACCTGGCAGAACATCCCAGAAGTCTCTTGGGATCTCTGATTTTTTTTCCCCAAATGTAATCCTTACCAAAGTAAACTCATTGTTTTACTAGATGTTTATCCTAAAGATGAGACTCTGTGTGCTAATTGATGCATCCTGTCTGCCAGTTGCAAGTTTACCTACCTGAACAGGCATGTCTTGTTTCAGAGGTACACATTCACACATTTGGATTCCTGCAATGCTTTGTATGTGGGTCAGTCTCATACTTCTCTACAAACTGGATCAGTTTATGATGAAAACATTATTATTAATTGGGACTGGGTTTTATGACCAGACTTTATTATTTTTATTGGTTCCAAGGCAATTACTGATGGTTTGATCTTCAAGGTTCTTTGTGGCTGGAGCATATAAAGAGTTGAACACTCAAAATTGCTACCACAATCTCTCTTTGTGAGACTCCTTCAAAATGTTTGGCATCTACAAACAGATGCATGGTGTGCCTTTTAATATATTTTTAGTGTTGAGGAAAGTTCTTTTAGCTAAGCTTAAATAATCTAGATCAAGGGTGTCAAACTCAAGGCCCGGGGGGCGGATCCGGCCCACGGGGTGCTTAGATCTGGCCCACAGGGCTGTCCTGGAAACAGTGAAGCATTGGCCCGTGATGCCTTTTGCAGCAAAAACAGAGCTCAGGAGGGCTCAGGTGGCCTCCTAAGCTCTGTTTTCGCTGGCAGAGGGTTGCAGGAGGCTATCGCAGCCGAAAATGGAGCTTGGGAGCCCATTTTCGCTGACAGAGCGCTTGGGACACTACAGGTGCCCCCAACACAAGTGACGTCAAGCTGGCCACGCCCACCCTAGCCACAGCCCCCCGGCCCCCAAGATCAAACACAACCCTGATGTGGCCCTCAATGAAATAGAGTTTGACACCCCTGATCTAGATAAGTCAAGCAAGTCAAATCTATTTAGCACTTGGAAAGGAGATTACCAGAAATCTCAGGGTTGCAGACTAGACTGGAGAATTGCAGAAACATTCCAGAGTGGCCTCTTTAAAACCATTCCAATTTCTCCAAATTTGGGGGATTACAATTTTTTTTAACAACATTGTAGTAAAAATGTTCTTTTGTTTTGTTTTTAACATTGTTTTGTTAAATTTGGAGGGCAATGGTAGTTATCTCACAGAAATCTCTTCTAGCAAAATCTCATTCCAATCAATCTCAAGAAACAGGAACACCTGTCATAAATATCTTGTTGTTTGTAACTTCTCCTTTGTCCTTGATGGAGTTGGCTGTGCTCTTTAAAGCAGATCTGTCTAATGTCAGTGCGCTTCAGTTATGTGGACCCCAGTTTTTGCACTTCTCAGTAGTGCTCATCTTAGCTGGGGAATTTTTGGAGATGAAAATCAAACATCTGGAATGCAATCAGGTGTGGGATCCTTCTGTGGCTTGAGGGATACTGCTGGGGACTCATGCTTGGATTTTGAGAATGTTAAAAAACCAAATCCTTCTGTTGACAGAACATGGCAAGATAGGTTAGTATAGCATTCAGAGACTTTCCATTATAGATGTATCTCCCACATCCCCACCCCACTGTTGGATATTTTTGAATGGTGCTAATTTTAGTATCCCTTTGACTCACCTGTGCATGTCACATAGTATGCATATTCCTGCAGATGGGAGATGCTATGTGATTATCGATGACTAATTTTATTATCTCACCCATGTCTCTGAATTATTCAAATTACTTGGAGAGATATCTAAATAGAACATTCTGACTAACTGTCTCTGTTTCAGTGTTCTTTTAAAATAAAATTGTCTTTCCAAGACCTTGAAACGGGACAGGATCCCTTAATCAGATCCACCCAGTAGTATCCTATGAATATCAACATGTAACATCATTGTCATTTGCTGCCAACTGTGATGATGAAGAAATGGCAACGCAAATGGGGACATCGCAACACAATCCCCACCCTTTGTGCTTGTGACCCACTGAAAGATGAAAGTGTGTATATCACAGGATATGAATCACAGGAATTGAAACCATATCGGGATATGTTCATTGTTTGCATGTAAGCCTCATGTTGTATTACAAACTGG